TTTATGATTATTATTCTATAACTCCCTTTTTTATTATCCCCATTATAATCCCCCATTTTTTAAATTAATATCCTATAGTCTAGTGTATTCAGGGTCCCTCCCTTATTTCCATTCTTCAGCCCTCAATTTTCAGCCTTTCTCTTTCATGCTGTGTATTACATTATTATTTTTCATTTAGAATGATGCTTGATTTTATTTATTGCTTAAACAACTTTGTATAATTGTATCACATCGATATATGAAAAATGCTGTAACATTTATATACCACTAATGTATTATAATATAATTTCTGTTTCATGCCGCAAATCCATGTGAGGACTCATTTCCATCAGCTGTATTAAGACGGGGTGGAACAAACTATTTCCACATTGTCCGCCTGAATACGAATAAGAGAGAACACTTCTGGATCGGTGGAACGCATATGCGTCCCACTGACGTCAGCCGGAACACCATCTAAGGAATAAAGAGAACAAGTGACTGAAGGAGAACTAATTGAAAGCTGTTGATTGGACGAACGGATCCGAAAACCGTCAGGAAGGACAATTAAAAACAGCTGTGAGCCTCACAAGATTTGAAGCACTTTACATGAACGCTATTACTACTCCTGAGGAAGTCTGATACATTAGACGAAACACGTAGAGTTTGTTTTTCAATTTGACAATTTTTATTTTCAAATAAAATCATATAAAAGTGGGATACAGAAGAGAGAAGGGGAGGCAGGGGGGAACATCTTACATTGTCATCATTCAAATCCTCTTTTGTTACAGGGTGCCATAGTGTACAATGACCTATTATACATTTTGTTCGTCTAGCCTCGCCCTCTGGTGAGAGATCCTGGGGCCTGAAATAGTACCCCTATGGTCCCTAGCGGACTGGGCATAGCTGCCAGCAGCGATTGCAGAGCCTCATGACTCATGTCTCCTCCTAATGTTATCCCAGTTGTGCCTTCCGTGTCTCTCCCTAAGCATCCCTGTGCGGGAGGGGGGGGTAGAATAACTGGTGGGGTTTGGGGGAGGGAAGTGGGGGGGGGTTTGTGAGTTCGGTGTATTGCCCTCCTACCGGTTCTGTCCACTCTTTTGTTGGGGTATGTTTCACTCTATTCCCTTGTACTATATTTATTTATTCCCCCATCCATCTTTTCGGTCCCCTCTGATTTATGTCCCTTGGGCTCCTTCTTGTACTCCAGGGGGGATATTTTCGCTGTATTAATAAATCTCCTTGGATGGTCGCTCTTTTGGTTTGGGGACTATTCGTCGTCCTCTTGACTCATGGGGGTATGTATGGTTTCCCATCTAAGTTTAGCATCTTCAAATCTCTTACTATTGCCATAGGCTTTCCTCGCTACTGTTTCATATTGAATGTGAGTAGAGACCTGCTTTATCAGGGCTCGTTTTGTCGGTGCCGTTATAGTTTTCCATTCCCTAGCTATGAGCGTCAGGGCCCCTATTAATATGTGGAAGATCAGTATTGCCCCCCTCCCTCTGTACCGGTCTAATTCCATAAATAGGAGGCACAGTTCTGGGGTGATTGTGATACTGTTGTCTACAGCCTCTTTAATAATGTTCCCTACCATCTCCCAGTAGGGCCTGATCACCTCGCATGTCCACCACACATGGTACATTGTGCCCTCTGCCACCCCGCATCTCCAGCACTGTGCGGACGTTCCTGGGTATATTTTTGCCAGTCTGGCTGGCACCATGTACCATCTATCCTCATAAGTTCTAGGTGCGTTGTACACAATGATTTCCCCTTATGTGCTGTTACTGCTTTTGCCCATTGGGTTTTATCAAATTGTTTTCCTATATCCCCCTGCCAGGCCTGACTAAATCTATCCCGATGTAGATTTACTATCCCGATTCACGTTTAGGAGCGAATAGCACATGGATATTGTCCCTTTGGCTCGTGATTTGTTCAGACACTTTCTCTCTAACTCTGTAAGTGGAAGTGTGTTCCCTCCTTTCTCAGTGGGTGTTTGGGCACTTAGCATTGATTTGATTTGTAAATACGAGAACATCAGTCTGGGGGGTAGGTTAAATGTTTCTTGGAGAGTGGGGAATGGTATCAGGTTGTGTGTTTTCAATAGGTCTCTCACATGTGTGCACCCTCTTTTCGTCCATTCCCTGTGATCAAACGTGTTGTTGGCTGCGTGTAGGCTGGTTAATGGCGTTGCTGGTGACCATGGTATCATCGACACTATTGCCTCCTGTGTTTTGTCCCAGGCTTTCAGTATTGTTTTGGTGGTGGGTAGTATGTGGGATTGGTTTGGGCGCATCTTTTTGGGTACCCACACTAGTTTCCGCAGGTCTCCCCCCTGTAACCAGTGATCTTCAATTTCAAACCGTTGGGGGTGAAAAATATTTTTATAAACTTTAAATGTATTCAACGTGTTGTAGGAATGTAGAAATATTGTAAGTTATTATTCTAAGCATATCCAGACATCGAGAGGCCCCTACCCAGATAGATTACTATCATAATGTAATTTATACACATACTGTAATTTACACACATATGGTTTTAAGTCAAGAATGATGGATGGAGACTTGTGGATCCTGTTGATAATAACCTTTGACCTAGCCTTGTAAGCCTGAATTCCTGTGAAAGGTTCACATTTCTATAGGCAATCATTCATTCATTCATTTAATTAGAAGTCTCAAGAAGGTCTTTGTGTGTAACTTACCAAAACATCATAACGTATGGCTTTAATCATAGATATCGAATAATACTAAGTTACCACCTATTTTTTCTTAGATAACCAATTATTGTAAAGCAGGCAAACCTTATGTCATTATGTATACGCCCTATGTGATTGAATTTTAAATGTATATAATCCATTGCAGCTAGAATACCAATACCAATAGAATACCAATACCTTTTAACATCAAGCTTGGATAAGATCTAGAAGTGAATATACATTGTCTATTGGTCCATATGATTTTAAACCAGACTTTTGTTGTTACCGGATGATGTGTATATTGTAATAAATATACGGTTTTAACTGCAAGACACTCTGATTCGATTTGTTCAGAAAACTGGAAAACAAATATCTCACGGAATGCAAATTTCCTACAGGGGGGTGTAAAGTTTGTTTTTAATTGCTTTTGTTATTTTATGTACCTGATTCTTCTGCCTACTATCTCTGTGAAGCCTGTTCCTTTCCACGCTGATCGAACACACAGAATTATATTGATGGGCCTTGTTATCTCTTTTACACTGTAAGTGCAACCATTAAAGCTGATACTTTTAATTTGTAAGCAGCATTGTACTATGTTGCGTTTTTATTTTTTACATGCATCATTCATTATCCGAAACATGAGGAATTTGTGAACTTCTACATAATTGATGAGCCTGAAAAACTCTAAAATTTTGTGAGTGTAATATTGAAAAAAGGGTCTATTTGTGATTTGACAATATTTCCCTATGAGCCTTTCTCTTTTTTCTACTGTTATACTTGGGAGACTTTGCTGAACACAAATATTAGTGTTTCAAAACAGTAAAACATATCACAACAATTATATCATCAGTGAAAGTGCTGTTTGTGTGTGAAAAATACAAAAAAAGTCACTTTCACTGACAATATCATCGCTGTGATATGTTTTACTGTGTTGAATAACTAATATTTGTATTTAGCGAAGTCTCCTGAGTAAAACAGTACCCCCCATGTACAGGTTTTAGAGTGTCATAGAAAGTTACAGGGTTAAATACAATGCTAGCAAATTAAATTGTCTGGACTTGCAGCTTGGGTTGTCAGACAGGTTCCTCAAATTGCAATCAATAAAATTACTTAATTATGCAAAAATATTACATAAATATGCATATATATATGCATGTTTATATATTTGCAGTCTATGTGTATATTTATGAAATTATTATGTAATTTTGTAGATGGATATATATATATATATATATATATATATATATATATTGTATTATTTTGTTTTATTTATATATAGATAAATGTATATATATATATAATTTCATTCTAAGTGTATTTTGATATAAATATATATAATATATATATATATTAAAATCAAAATACAGTTAGAATAGAATTTCATATAGATATATAATTAAAAAATATATTATTATTTTTGTTTTTTATTTATTTTTATTTACTTATTATTTGTATTTTATAATAATATATATATATATACAATATATATAGTTATTATATATATTATATATACACGTGTGTAATTTAATTAAAAGTGTATTTTTATATTAATATATGTTTATATTATAAAATATAAAAATACACCTAGTATGACATTATATATATGATATATAGACTTATAATTATATAATTTTTTTTTTTACATTCTTTATTTTGAGTTTTTCCATCATGACACATACATGTGTAACCTAACCAACAAGTTTCAACAAGGTTTGTATAGAAACAGTAGACATTGCAACAGAGGTGTACTATCAACATTCCACTGGGTGGCTACTGTTCCCTTTGTATCTTAGTCTTGGCTCTAGCCAGCTTTGAGGTTTAGGCCGCGTTGTCTGTCCGTCATCGTACGTGGTTAAGGCACTGCGGCACAGGACCCAGTGCGGGTTAAGGAACATATCAGAAAGAGTGTTGTGTCGTTTTGTAATGCCTAATACCTACGTCCAACGGTGGGTCGTAAGTGGTTGAGGCCCCTTGTATACGTCTGTGATGGGGTCTGTTCTGTGTATCATGGTGGCTGATCGGACCCGAGGATGTGGTTTGGTAGGCTAGCTTTTTTCCTTTTGCACTATATGTCATGCTTCCATTTTTATTGTTCTGAGTTGGCATCAAGTACTCATGCCCTGTAGGTAGGGGATGGGGAAAGAAAAGTGTAGAGGTTTAGGTGCGTCAAGTCGATCGGGTGGGGTTAATAAAAGCATGGGACCACTACTAGAGAAGTATGTCCCGTCAATGGGTTCCTTAGTCCCCTGTCCTATTGTTTGTCATCCTTATGTCCCGTGGTGTGGGTCCTAGTGAGTGATCCCCTGGCCCCTTGGTCCCCCAGACCCCATCAGTCCCTGTTCCAGAGTAGAGGTCCTATCTTAGGGGCGTCCGGTGCGGAGGGCTCAGCCTCTGGCCTCTGTCTGTGTGGGTGGCTAGGGGTCTCAAGGGTCAGGGCTGGGATAGGAGAGAGAAGGGGAGGGCAAGTTTGGAAGGCCATGGTGGGCCCCCCTTCGACCCTTGCGGCCACATCCCCACCCCCTGGGCCACCGGTCCCGGCCACGCGCCCACCCGCCACAGCTCAGCCCCTTCGGGTCCACCAGTATCCGGAGTGTGTTCTATGCTATCCCCTTCGAAAGGTAGGATTTCCAGGGGTACCATTTGAGAGCGCACCTGTCCGAGCGTTCTTGCAGGGAGGCAGTCATAAGTTCCATATCGTGGATGGTTTCAATTTTATCCACCCATTGTCTGTATGTGGGGATCGTAGGGTGTTTCCAGTGTAGGAGTATAAGGATTTTGGCCGCGGTGAGCAGATGTATGGTGAGTGAGTTTTTGTATGTTCGCATGGGTATGGGTGTGTGGTGCAGGAGCATCGGCAAAGGCTGGAGGGGGAGGTCCGTTCCCGTGATCTTCCTAATCTTTGTATTGATCATCTGCTAAAATGGTGCTATATGTGGGCAGGACTACCAGATGTGCAGGTAAGAACCAGGTTCCGCCCCACACCTCCAGCACTCGCCCGTGTCAGCATGTGGCATGTGCCTAAGAGTGTCAGGTGTTTGGTACCAACGTGTCAGGAGTTTATAACTAGTTTCTTGGAATTTGGAGCTTATAGAACATTTATGGGTTAGGAGGAAGATTTTATCCCAATCCTGTTCTGTCAGATGGGTTCCGGTCTCCTGTTCCCATTTACTTGTGAAGCATAGTGGACCGCTATCTGCCGTCGTTAGGAGGGTTCCATACATGCGCAAAATGCCATGTTCTATGTGCGTCCTGTTTGTGCACAGTTGTTCAAAGTCCATAAGCTGCCTGTGTAAGTGGGCCTTTCCTGGTAGGTGGGCGTAATATGACTTTACCTGGTCATATTGGAAAGTGTCCAGTGGTGTAGGGGGCTGGTCTCTCAGCAGGTCCGGTAGGCATCGGAGCTCGCCTCCCACACTCCACTGGTGCATATAGTTCCAGTCTGTTGTGTGGAAACGTTTAAGGGCCGCCGGGTGTAGTCCCCCAGCCAGGCCGGGGTTATATGTGATGAGAGTTAGGGGGTTCAGGGAAGTTGTCAGTTGTCGGGCGTAGCGCAACTTGCACCAGACTCTCAGTGTGGCGTCTATTATGGGGTTGTTTGTTTGTAGATCTGTGTAAGTGGCTCTTCCGAGCCAAAGTCTGGACGGGATGTTGCCCTGCGCTTGCTTTGTCTCCATTGCCACCCAGCGTGCAGGTGGCAATTCTGTGCAGGTGAGCTGCTTGGTAGTAGGCGAGTAGAGACGGCAGCCTCACTCCACCCGCTGCCTTAGGGCGCTCCAGGGTCGCCTTACGGATGCGCAGTGGTCGCTGGTTCCACACAAACTTGCGAATGGCCATTGCTGCCGATCTGAAGAATGCTTGTGGGATCCTCGTGGGTAGGGTCGCGAACAGGTAGAGTAGTCTCGGGAGGATATTCATCTTGATTGCAATGGTGCGACCGAACCTCGTGATATACAGCCCTGACCACCTTGCTAGATCTTGTTGTATGGTCGAGAGGATATGGAGGAAGTTTAGCTGGTACAGTTGGGTGAGGTCCTTCGGCAGCCAGGTGCCCAGGTAGCGGATTTTTGTCGCACGCCAGGCTAATGAGAATTGGGAGCTGAGGCGGTCGGCGAGTCCTGCATTCTGTGTTAGCAACATGGCTTCGGACTTGTCCAGGTTTAGTTTCAGATTTGATACTTGGCCGCAAGCGTCGAATGCACGTAGCAGGTTAGGTTACCGATATCATGGGTTGTTCCATGAAAAAGAGCGTACGCCGCCACCCGGTGCTCCTCACCGCCCACCCTGACCCCCGTTATGCCCCCGTCCCATCTGATCGCCTCCAGGAATGGCTCCAGGGTGAGGGCAAACAGGAGGGGGGACAGGGGGCAGCCCTGCCGGGTCCCATTGCCGATGGGAAAGGTTTTCGTCAGGGCCCCGTTGACTCGGATCCTCACTGTTGGTGTGATGTATAATGCAGAGACCCAGGCGCACATGTAGGGCCCGAAGCCCATATGCCGCATCGTTTCAGCCATGAACACCCAGTCGACTCGATCGAACACCTTTTCGGCGTCCGTCGAGAGGAGTACAGTGGCTCGGTAGGACGTTCTGGCGGCGTGAATAACATTGAGTGCCCGTATAAAAACTCTATGCCCGGAATAAAACCCACCTGGTCCGGGTGGATGAGGTCTGGCATGATCCGGGCTAGTCTCAGGGATAGGGCCTTCGTGAAGAGCTTCAAGTCGGCATTCAATAATGAGATGGGCCTATAACTTGCGCAATTGGCTGGGCCCTTGCCCTCTTTGGGGATTACCGTGATTGTTGCCGCTAGGGAGTCCGTGGGGAAGCTCCCTGTGTCCCGTATGGAGTTCAGGCCCGCCAGGAGGCGCGGTAGGAGCGTGTCGCGGAATGTCCGTAGGTATGCGAGTGGTAGGCCATCGGGTCCTGGGGCCCGGTGTGGTTTTGATTTTTTCAGTGCTGTGGCTAGCTCCTCCAGAGTCAGGGGGCTTTCCAGGTCCTCCGCGAGTTCCGGCGTTAGCTTGTGGGTTACGTTGTGCGCCAGGTAGTCAGAGATTCTCCTGCGCCGTATCTGGTCCGAGGCACCCCATGTGGCCTGCGTTGAGTTGTAGAGGTCCATATAGTAGGTCCGATAGGCTTCCATAATTCCGTTAGGCAGGCTGTTGATACTGCCATCTTGTGTGTGGATCTTGTGGATATGGTGGGTCCTCCTCTGCGCCCAGAGCATCTTGGCCAGGAGCCTGCCACTCTTGTTAGAGTATTCGTAGAAAAACCTGGCCGATTTCCGCAAGGTGTGTAGATGTCCTTGGGAGAGGTGGTCCCTGAGTGCTCTGCGAGCTTCAGTCAGTTGGAGGTAGGTGTCGTCATCCAGGGTCTGCTTGTGGGCATGCTCCAGGGTTGCGATCGTCTTCATTAGGTCTGTGATGCGGCGCGCCTTTTCTTTCTTGCATCTTGTACTGACGGAAATAAAGTGTCCCCGAAGTACACACTTATGGGCTTCCCATACCGTCAAAGAGGGCATGTCAGGGGTGTCATTTATGTCGAAGTATTGGGTGATAAGTTGTTGAGCCGTGGTGCGTGCGCCTAGGTCGGTCAACAGCGTTTCATTAAGCTTCCATTGGCGTTCCGCGGGTTTAAATAAAGGGGAGCTCATTTGCATCGAAACTGGGGCATGGTCCGAGTGGCGCATATTCCCTATGTTAGCGTCATGTAGCTGTGTCAGGTATTCCTGTGGCATAAAGATATAATCTATGCGGCTGTACTGCTTGTGTGTGGACGAATAGTAGGTATAATCCCTATCATCAGGGTGGGTTGCTCTCCAGCAGTCAACCAGCCCCACTGTGTTCAGGGCTCGCCGGGCCTTGTGTAGGCAGTGTGTGGGTATGGCACTGATGCCCCCCGAGGAGTTTAAGCGTGGGTCTAGTGGCATATTCAGGTCCCCTGCTAGTATCAAGAGTCCCTCCCTAAACTGTTGTAGTTTGGACAGTGTTTTGGCCAGGAAAGTGTGTTGTGTTCGGTTCGGGCTATATATACAGGCAAATGTGTAGGCATGATCTGCTATGGTGCCCTTGAGGAATATGTATCTCCCACCCGGGTCTGTAAACGTCTCTTTGTGTTGATATGGTATCGAGTGCGCGAAGAGGATTGCGACGCCCGTTTTCTTGACGTCCGGGTGACAGGCGTAATACCCCTGTGGGAAACGGTTGTTTTCGAGTTTGGGATGGGCACAGCTCACGAAGTGCGTCTCCTGCAAGAACGCCATGGACACCCTCTCTGCCCAGAGTTGGCGGAGCAGCTGGGAACGTTTCTCCGGAACGTTGAGGTCCCTAACATTGTTCGAACACAGCTTAACCTGCGCCGGGCGCATACGCGACATGGCCCCGGGTCCCAGGTCCCCCCCCCAGAGCACCCAGAAACCGGTCAGACGGCGAGGGTGGGAGGGGGTGGGAGGGGCCAGAGAGAGCAAAGAAGGGTGGGGCCAATATGGGAAAGGGGCAAGTAAATGCAACGTCTAACCTCAGTCGGGGGTAATGTCCGGCGGTCACTAAGCTACGGACCTTCCGGGCTCCGACCTATATGTACAAAGAAGGTCTGTTGCTTGGGGTGCAGTAAAAGCCACATGTGGCGTCCGTCGCACGTACGTGGAATGTCCGTCAATGACCGTCTCCCAGGTCACCCAACCCGCTGGTGGGGGTGTCTAGTGCATTAAGTCCCAGATGTAGGGGAGTACCTGCTCGGAGCAGGTGGCCCCTTATCTCATGTGAGTGGCTAGCTACCATTTCGAGGTTGTCTAGGGTCATAACTGGGTGGGCTTTCCCACATCCTAATTCCCTCAGGCCTACTCCACATTCAACGTCCCAAGGTTACCAGGTGGGGTGTCAACGGTCTCGGTCTGTCGCCTCTATGGATAATTCGCGGATGCGTCATCCCGAGCATCCAGTCCCACCACGCGCTCTGGGTCCATCCGTGGGCCAGGTCTGTCCGTCCGTCGCTCACCCTAAAAACTTGCAACTGAATAGAAACATCATATACAATAACATAGCCTATACAGCCTCCATATCTCAAGCGTACCATCCCCGAACGCCCTTGGCTCACTGCCTCCGGACTCCGCGTGCGGGCCTCCTGCCCACTTACCACTAGGTCAGCAGCTGGATCCCCCCAAGACTCCCGGGGCAGAGTTTTTTTTCCCCTGGCATCGGTGAGGTCCTGATGGCACTTCAGATGAGATGTTTTCGGCTGGGACGACGGGGCCAGTCGGTCGGGCCGGCGGGCAGTCCAGAATCCAATTCTGGATGGGTATGGCCGGGAGGCCCACAGCTTGCAGGGATTTCGTTAGGCCAGCGCAGCACATGCCATTGGTTATCAACCTTGACTTGTAGACTGAACGGGAACCCCCACTTGTACGGTATCCGTTTCTCTTGCAGGAGGCTTGTGAGTGGTTTCAAGGCTCTGCGGGCATCAAGGTCAGCATTGATAGGTCTTGGTATAATGAGATGTGAGCGTCTCCATAGCGGATTGTGCGTTGCGTCCTGGCTGCCCTCATTATGGCGTCCTTGACTTGGAATGACTGAAGGTAGCATATAAGGTCTCTAGGTAGACCGACCTCCATCGGTGCTTCTTCTCCCAGAATGTGGTCCGACGTCAGGTGAGGAGCTCCTTGGGTGATTCCCCTTCAGACTCCGGCTTGCCCCTCACGCGGATGTTGTTGCGGCGGCCCCGATTATCGAGGTCCTCCACCTGACGTCCGAGGTCAAGGAGTTTGTTACCCTGCAGTGAGGCCGCCAAGTCAGCTGCCTGTAGGTGGTGAGTAGTCTGCATGCGGTATTCCTCCAGGTCATCGACCCTCTGCTTCAGAACCGCAAGGTCTCTCCGCACCGCTGTGATCTCTTCACAGATAGCTGCTCTGAGCTTGGCTACTAATGCCGTCTTGTCACTCCTAGTCAGCATATTTGCGGAGATCGCTGCCAGGTCCACCGACATTTGGGTATGAGTTTTCCCTCTCGGGGAACCCCTCGTGGAGCCCGTCCTGCTGCTCGATCCCAGAGACGCAGAAGCCATTTTGCATGGGTCCCGCGCTCCCCCGAGGGTGTTCGGAGTGGACAGGTAATCGTCCATTGGCCCCAGGATTTGGCTCACGGGAGTATGTGGTGGCCTGGGGGTAGCCCCTCATTCGGTTTTCCCCATAAATTCTGCGGTATTAGCTGCGTTTATAGGGCTTTTGGCGGGTTGGGGCTTAGGAGCTCCCGTCGTCTGCGTCCTACTCCATTTGCAGCTCAGCCTCGCCCCCCCATAAATAATTATATTTTTTATTAACATTAACATTTTTTATTTTTTTATTTTACACATTCAGTGTGCAGGCAGACACTTGGACACCCAATTGGGAAAACTGAGAGAAAAAATCCAAGCTAATATTCAAACATAAAGAAAGAACTGTTGACTCTTAACCAACGATTTCAAGGAATAGAAGAAAAACTAAATAGGTTGTGTAGCGGATTGCATTTGGTTGTCCATAACATTTCTTGTTGCAATAGTATTTCTATGGTTTGTTACTTGTAAGCAGTGAATTGCTTAAGCATTCGTCTGGTTGTTTGGGAGGAACACAATGGATACCAGGTTGAATATCTCCGTTCGACATACGAACAAATTACAAAACAACCAGACCATCCCTGACAGAAGGGTGGCTCTAATTTACCTCCCCATTGTTCTTCACACCTGCCTGATTGAAAAGTATACCAACGTACAGTATATTCCCTGGGTGGGCACCGTTCTACATGCGAACACGTGGCAGTGGCCATCTTGCCATACGAACGCCCAGCAGTGTTTGGTCGTCGAGTGTCTGGAACCCTAATCGGACACTTGACCACGCGAACACCACAGAGACCTCCATACCTCCACCCGTTCGTGAGAAAACACACGAGCGGCCCGGTGTTCGGAAAACAGATACCCACGAGCAAGGGGATTCTTTCGAATCCAGGCAAAGCCCATTATGTTGACTATTTCCATGTCTTTTGCCTCGTGAACAGAGACCAACCACAAGACAATACATGGAACTGCTTTCAGTTATTGCCTCGTGTGCTGTCAGTAAAACGAACACCTCCATGAAATTCCCGAATCCCTGATCCAATCTGGGTGATTTTTGAGTATGTTTCTCACCCAGATCAGGGCTATCAGGGGATGTATTATTTAGGGCCATATGTCATGGCTTTGGGGTACATCTGGAAAATGGGGAAAAATGTGTGTTTAAACTGTTCTGTTAATTGGGTTATCTCTCAGGCTGAGGGGAGGGAATGTGTGGGCTGTAACCAGTATGTGATTGGCTAATGTATGATTTCCTGTGGGTGTCTCCCTTGCATGCAAGCGTTTAATAAAAGCAGTGTATGTGACATTAAACATCAGTTCTGCTCCTGATACTGAGTGTCGTCCAGTTATTGGGAAAGGTGATGGGATATTCGTGGATTGTTTTGTTTACTGCTTATGCTGTGCTTCCTGTGTTAACTACTTGGTCCCGAGCAATTCTTGGATTACCAGCGGAGAAAGTCTATGTGGAACTAGCGCTACAAGTTGGAACAAAATGAAAATGTCTCAAAGAAGAACATCTGGCGCTGGAAAAAAGATGGCTGACATGGAGTACAAACTGATAGACCTAGAGGACAGGTCAAGATTGAACAACTTAAGAATTAGAGGAGTATCAGAACAAATACATTTTAAAAATCTAGAACTATAAATAGAGTGAACAAACCCAAGGGCATCCCAGAACATCTTCCAAGAGATGTATTGATATGCTACACCTCCTCCAAAATGAAGTCGCAAATCCTGAGAGCCATAAGAAGCAATAAATGCGCAGAAGAATATGAAACATTGAAAATATTCCAGGATCTGTCATGGCCAACCAGACAAAAAAGGAAGATCTTCTCTGACTGCACATTCATTCTGAGACAGAACAAAAATATTTATCAAAGGGGATTCCCAATGAGAATTATCATATCTGAATTATCATATCATATCTTCCATTAATTATGCAGAAGACCTAAAAAGTTGGTTAAACAAAAATAAAATTGGAAACAGCTCCAACCACTAGTCAACAAGTTGTGAGGTCTCAAATATTTAGAGGGGAGTGGAAGGAAAAAAGAAAGGAAAAAAATTGGCACTAGTGGCACTCAACCTTTAAAGAATCACATGAAATAAGAGAAATCACAGACTTTTCTCTCCTTCTTGCTTTCTTGCAGTTTTTATAGCATAAGGGGATAAAGGGGAAACCAGGGAGATATAAAAGTATAATCAGGAATTTAGGGGAAACAAAGAAATGAAAAATAGAGAAATGTAGATTATTTTAGAAAATTGATTAAGTAGGCACTTAAGATAAGTAAAGCACAACGTGAAGAAAAACTCTATTTTTTAAGTTTACACTAATTATAATGAAATGATTTAATGTACACTAAAAGGTTATGTTAAATAAAAGGAATGTATAAATACACAGAAAGGCACACACCTACACAAGGAGGAAAAGTAAGAAAGGGGTAAGGGAAAGAGTGATAGATTTAAGAACAACACTGGTTGATGGATGCTGGTTGACTGACCCCCTCCCTCTTACGGAATTCGAGGAACCAGCTAAGAAGACAGAGACGTTTTCCAAACCAATTAAATTTTTATTTATACACAAGTTATATTTATACATCTCTTTCATGGTGATGGGGGTATGAGCATAAGGGTGTGACAATAACGTAACTTGTTTTTCACAAAATATAAGCAGTTGTTTCTTGTTATATCTTATGTTATATAACAAACATATATTTGATAAAAAAAACAGATGTTTACAAATACCAAAATTCGGACAATAACAAGAAGATTGAGTAATAACAAGCAGCCATTTCAAGATTCAAATTAACCTTTAATATAATCAGCTAGGATAGATAGTAAAATGAATATTATATCCTTCAATTCCCCTCTTAGATCATATCATGATCTACCTTACGGAAAATATCCATGGGAGGCCAGCGGCAGAGAAACAAAAGGGGGTATATTCAGGCATGCTAATCAAGTCTGCGGGACTTTTGTTATTTCTTCACCTCGATTTTCCCCATTTCCTCTGTGCCGTAGGATTTCTCTTTAAGAGGAATTCGAGCTGTTGGTTTTCATCTTTTTCAATTATCTGTTGAATACATCTTTTAAGTGTGCAAGTTAAAGATTTCAAACAGCTGACATGTTAACCAATTTTAAACAGACTGAACATCATGTCATCTGTAGCTTGAGCCTTGGGTCAGTACAGGCAAAGTGTATTATTCCCAACAATGGGAATATTATTCTTATTATTATTATTCACAACGTAAACGCATATAATCAAAATGGGAATGATACCTATTCCCCCTCCTTGGACCAGGGTCTAAGATTACCAGTCCTCCATACGTTCGGGAAAATATCACCAAATCTACCGAACGACCGGGCGTTCGGTAGAAAGGATTAACAGCAGATGGGGATTTCAGCGAACCCAGGATGGCATACGGATGGCCGGCTGTTCGGGAGTTTTTACCCACGTTCTTAGACCGACTGCAGGGCCAGCATTCATGGAACTGTTTTCGGCTACTGTACCCGTGCAGTCGGTCAAATCTTCTAAGTCCCATATCTCCCGAACGGCTGAACCGATTGAGTTGATTTTTTCATATGTTGGTACCTGAACTAGGGGCTATCTGTATTTGGGGTACATCCAAACTTTGGGGAAAAACTGTTCCTTTTTAATTATGTTATGTGGTTATCTGAGGGGAGGGAATTTACCAAATGTATATTGCATGGATTGGTTACTCTGCTAATTATGTGGGTGTCTCCCTTGCATGGGCAGAATCTCATAAAAGCAGAGTGTGTGTCATTAAACCTCAGTTCTTCTTGACCCTTCAAAACGTAGCCTTGTCTCGTTCTTGAAAGGGGAATCTCTGCAGTAGTGATGTACCGAACGGTTCGCCAGCGAACGGTTCCCGGCGTACATAGCATGTTCGCGTTCGCCACGGCGGGCGAACATATGCGCGGTTCGACCCGCCCCCTATTCGTCATCATTGAGTAAACTTTGACCCTGTACCTCACAGTCAGCAGACACATTCCAGCCAATTAGCAGCACAGCCTCCCTAGCAGACCCTCCCACCTACTGGACGGCATCCATTTTAGATTCATTCTCAAGCTGCATGCTTAGTAAGAGGAGGGAAAGTGTAGCTGCTGTTCATAAGATAGGGAAAAGCATAGCTAGGTTAGGGATAAGGGTATGCTTTTTTTTGATTATTTTTTTCAATGTAATGTAAATGCACTTAGTTGTCTGCCACTGCTGCCAGCTTCTGTGTCAGGCTCACAGTGCCCATTTCCCCAGTCAGTGCCACCAATTACATCTGGTGTCACAATAGCTTGGATTTAAAAACAAAAAACTTTTTTCACTGTTATAGATTGAATAGCAGTCAGTTGTATTCCACTGCTGCAGCTGTCTCACAGTGCATACTGTGCCCATTTCCCAGTCAGTGCACCAATTACATCTGGTAATGTCTGGCCAACTGGATTTAAAACAAAACTTTTTTCACGTATAGATTGAATAGCAGTCAGTTGTCTTGCCACTGCTGCGCCAGCTTCTGTGTCAGGCTCACAGTGCATACTGTGCCCATTTCCCCAGTCCAGTGCAAATTTACATCTGGTATGCTGTAACTGAATTTAAAACAAAAAGCTTTTTTCACTGTTATAGATTGAATAGCAGTCAGTGTCCTTAAATCGGGTGTGTTACGCTAACAGTGGATACGGTGCCCAGTGCCACTACTCACTGGTGTCATAATAGCCTGGATTTAAAAACAAAAAACTTTTTTCACTGTTATAGATTGAATAGCAGTCAGTGTCCTTAAAGCGGGTGTGTTACGCTAACAGTGGATACGGTGACCAGTGCCACCAATTAGATCTGGTGTCACAATAGCTTGGATTTAAAAAAAACCTCTTTTTTCACTGTTATAGATTGAATAGCAGTTAGTGTCCTTAAAGCGGGTGTGTTACGCTAACAGTGGATACGCTGACCAGTGCCACCAATTGGATCTGGTGTCACAATAGCTTGAATTTAAAAAAAAAAAAAACTTTTTTCACTGTTATAGATGAATAGC